TATTCCACAGACATTCTGTTGTGTTATTTTTATTATTCCACAGACATTCTGTTGTGTTATTTTTATTATTCCACAGACATTCTGTTGTGTTATTTTTATTATTCCACAGACATTCTGTTGTGTTATTTTTATTATTCCACAGACATTCTGTTGTGTTATTTTTATTATTCCACAGACATTCTGTTGTGTTATTTTTATTATTCCACAGACATTCTGTTGTGTTATTTTTATTATTCCACAGACATTCTGTTGTGTTATTTTTATTATTCCACAAACATTCCAGTGTGTTAATTTAAAACGTCTCATCTATGACCGGAAGCAGAAAAGAACACAAAATATTTCTTGCAGTACCAGAAATGTCAGCCATGATGGTTTCCAGCAAGATCGTTGACCAGAGGTTAAGTTACGTGAAAGCGTTCAAGAAAATTAAGCCAATCGTGGACAGGGTCGGATTAAGACAAAATTGGGCCTGATATTGCAGCGCAAAAAGATCTATTTTTTTTTCTCGGCATTGGTGCATGTGCATTTGGCCCTCACCGAACATGCCCACTCAGACCGAGCAAGGAGCTTTCATTGTTTGCGACGCAACCAGCCAGCCAACCAACCAGTCAGCCTACCAACCAGTCAGCCAACCAATCAGCCAGCCAACCAGCCATCCAATCAGCCAGCCAGCCAGACAACCAACCAGCCAGTCAACCAGCCATCCAATCAGCCAGCCAACCAGCCAACCAACCAGTCAGCCAACCAATCAGCCAGCCAACCAGCCATCCAATCAGCCAGCCAGCCAGACAACCTACCAGCCAGTCAACAGCTCTATTGAACATAACGACATATTATCGTAGCAACTCAAGAGTAACATCAACATTCAACAGCCATTGACTGAAAAGTGCACTTGATGCAAAGAAAAAGTCTAATCCAGAACAACTTAACTAAGGCATTTATTATTGTCACTCTAACTACTGAGCTAGTGTTCCTGTTTATCGAGCCTTAGCAATCGCCAAGCGCGAATCTTCAACCGTGTCCGTGGAGTCAAGGCTACGCAGCAGCTCATGCTCATAAGTACCAGCTCGCTTAGTCTTTTCTGTCCCTTTTCAGTTCAGCTAACAGGCTGCAAATCATGACCAGATAGATCTGAGCTGTGAAAGTTCTCATATTTGATTGATTTTTGATTGATTTGATATTTATATCGTGCCGGTATCCATGCCATTTTAGCTTGCTCACAGTGCTGTGATTAAAAATCATTTACAATTCCCCTCAAAGATTGAGGCAAACTTTTCCATAATTTTGGCGCCATCGCTTCAAAAGAGCGCACTCCGTACGACTTTTTTCTGTGTTTATCCACACTAGGAACACTCAGCAAATAATGTGTTAAAGACCGCAGGCTCTTCAAGGATACATGTTTATAAATCAGTTCCTTGAGACATTCCGGTACTGAGCCATCTATGCAGCTGTAAGCCAGGGACATAATTTTGTAGTTTAAATTGCTCACTCATAGGAACCCAATGGAGATCTCGTAGAACGAGGGTGATGTGGTCAGATTTTTTCATCCGCGATACAATGCGTGCTGCAGAATTTTGTATCTTTTGGAGTCTCTGAATTTGGTTCTGATGTAAACCCCACAAACAACTTTACTATTACAGTAATCTAATCTGGATTAGAGTTACTGCTACAGGATTGGCTGTCCTCCTATTGTTCTCCTATTGAGTTGAGGACGCAGCTGACCCAGGGCACGCAGATGACAGACGCATGTCTTGACAAGATAACTGATATGGGGAATCATACTCAGTTTACTGTCAATATAAAAGCCAAGGTCTCTGACAGTCGAGGACAACAGTATCTCTGATTCACCAACTTTTATTGATGCAATGGTAACTTTCCGAAGATTGGCGTCTGAACCACAAATAATTGCCTCCGTCTTATCATCATGAGGTCTGCTTTGTTTGCAGCTCCTTCATCGGACATTCGCTTACGGCCTCGTCGCTACTTAGCCTTGTGTTTGATGTGTTTAACCTTTTCGGTCACCATCTGACCATGAGTGTCAAATATGTCCCGTGCAAACTGAACCGTGTCGACCAGTCGCATGGGCACACTTGGACGCTCTCCAAGGTCTCTCCATACGAGAGGGACTCATTCTTCATATTTCCCATATTGTTGATCTTTAGGCTTATTTAAGCAGTTTAATTTACGTTAAAAGTGCATTGGGAAACAGGTTTCCCAAGTTTTTCGATTTTCAAATCAGTTCCTTTTTTAAAAAATGTGTTTCTTATAATTTTAAAAAAAATTAATCAATCTAAAAAAAACTATTTTTTTTTTAAATTTAAAAAAAAGGTTTGTAGGGGGCGGTGTTAAAGTAAATCAAAGAGCTTTACAATATGTGCCTTATGTTCATTAATTTGTTACTTATCTGAAGAAAGTTATTGTAGATTGAAATGCCAAATAAATGTTTCAATTTACTGAAATTTTGTGAAATTTATATTGCTTCAACTTCCCTTCAAAAATCACGTAACGGTATTAATAAATGACATGTAATGTCTGTTGTAAATATACCATGTCTTGCATCCACAATGATGACATTTCTATACATTTTTTTAAAAAGAACAGACATTAAAAAATCTAACGCATAAAT